CGAGTGCAAGTGCAGATTAAACGAACGACAGCTTGATGCATCGCTGCCGGTGAAGTGAGCAAGTTATTGTTAAACTCGGCACGCAACTAAACTTGCAATGGTAATCCTTCCTTCTGTTTATTTATCATTGTCTCCCCTTCCATTATCTTGATGTACGACTTATTTCGATCTGGTTCGTTTGTTAAAACTAACAGAATGTCAATCGGAGGTTAAAACAAAAACACATTAGGCTGATGTCACACGTGTACGTTGATTTTGAACAGCGGTATCTTCTTTCAAGTTTTGTTGTGTGTTAATTTTTTGCATTGTGTTGTGTGTTAAAACCAACAAGGACAATAGAATGATGGTCCAGTGGCCGACATCCTGTGTGTATCATAAACAAATAGAATAGTGCTGGTCGCCAACTTTTTGTCCTGGTCGGAAATTCTGAGTGCCGGTCGCTAGCGACCGGCACCGACCAGCGTGGGCAGATCCCTGATAGTATTATCATATAATATGTGTGCTGAATATAAATGTTCAATATACCGATACATCATATCCGATACTTACTTGTGGTTGTGAAGAAGGATATGCAAATGGCATCTTAGAATTGGTTGGTCCAACACTAGGTACAGCATTTGCTGGCAACACAGGCTGTGACATACCACCACCACCGCCACCATATCCGCCAAATCCACCTCCTGGATTACCACCATAGCCGCCACATGGGTTGCCACCATAGCCGCCGCCTGGGTTACCACCAAAACCACCTCCGGAATTGCCTCCATAACCGCCTCCTGGGTTTCCAGTAGCCACCACCTGGGTTTCCACCGTAGCCACCTCCAGGGTTTCCACCGTAGCCACCACCCCCTGAGGCACTACCACCTGGTGGAGGATTACTAGGACTGCTAACATCTAAAAGTAGCAAATCATCCGCTGTCATGTCGTTGAACTCAGATGATTCCTAAATAGATAACAAAACATTTAGATTAGCACAGTTGGAAATCTAGCTTTACAACAAAAAATCATTCAACAACAAGTAAGACTATTTTCCAATACATGAATATTGTTAAAATGATACAGATTAACAAAATTTGGTTCGAAAAAAAGGTGTAATGCTAGTCATATTCTCATATACATTATTTATATAATGTTGTAACTTATCAATGACATAATGACCATCTACTTAACACTGATGGGATATAGGAAAACATGTTTACCATTAAAACAGAAGGATCTGGTTCATATGGTACATTGTGACTCTTTGCTATTTCTTGTAAGTACCTTTCAACCAATATCTTTGGAGGTGGTTGGGGACTTAACTTGTGCATGAACTACAAATAAATGAAAACAAAGATTAGAATTTTACACATGAAGACATGATATCAATTGTCTAAATCATGTATTTAATTGTATTCATCCTAAAATATGTACATTGTCAATGGGTGTTCAATTGTGCTTAATGGGTGTTCAATTG